GCAGCACGCCTGGTAATGTATTTTGTAAAACTTGTTGGCTATCCCAAGTTTTTGATGTAGGGCTTTCCTTTTGTGTGTTTCTATAGTACCAAATCCCTGATAAGAGTATTTAGAACTGTTCTCTCTCAGGCTGTGACACTTCGAATTGCTTATACTAAATGGCCTAAGTTTCCCATCTATGGGTTACAAACTTAATCATAGTATATTTCCAAGCAATTGATGCTGTCCTTTGCTTCCATCTTCCTTTTTTTAAAAAAAAAGATTTATTATGTATACAGTGTTTTGCCTGCATCTACTATTTCTGCACGCCAGAAGAGGGCACCAGATCTCATTAGATGGTTTTGTGTACCATGTGGTTGCTGGGAAATGAACTCTGACCTCTGGAAGAGCAGCCAGAGCTCTTAACCTCTGAGCCTTCTCTCCAGTCCGTGTTTCCACTTTTGAAGTATAGGTCCTTGAATCCCTATGAACATTTTCTTCTGAATGTTACTAATTGCCTTAATTTTAACACTACTGCACTATTTTTTCTATTACAAATAGAAATGTTCCTTTTATTCCTTTCAATCCCTGTCCTGGAATTAGCATTCATTCCCCTATATTACACAGTTATACACAAAACAAATGTGTACACATACAGAATACAGTTGATCATTACTTGCGGATCTATATTTGCAAATGTAACTTTTTATCACAATATGTTTATAATGATCAACTCACAATGCTTTTGCAAACAGGCACAGTGACAAATATAATAGCCTCCATATTCCCACCCAGGATAATAAGGTAGTATCTGGCATTATTTCAGTTTTCCTACAGAGGTGATCTAGGATAAAGCATTCAGAACAACTATAGCCTGATGGGAGTTTGAACCTTCGCTCTGACACTTTCAGTGGGACAACCTCAGAAAGGTGGCTTAAGAACATTTTCTTTTGAAACTAAAGAAAATGTAATCGATCGGGATGAGTTGTTTGCAGCATCTAAAGTGATAGTTTGTGCATGGGTTTGCATGTATTTGCATTCCAAGGAACTGCAGTTTGAGATTTGCTAATTGTACCAAGTTCCCAGGATAAAGCTTAACAATTAGAGTATAGACCTTATATGTCTATTGAGTTTTTAATGTAACAGTGAAAGAGTGTAGACCTTATATGTCTATTGAGTTTTTAACTTGACAATGAAAGAGTGTAGACCTTATATGTCTATTGAGTTTTTAACTTGACAATTAAAGAGTGTAGACCTTATATGTCTATTGAGCTTTAGTATTTTTTTTTTTCTGGCATGCTATATGTCTAGCTTCTCTTACTGCTCTTACTACAGAGATCTTTTGAGCTCTGTACATCATTCATAGTTTCAGTACTTCTGTAGTATGCTATTTAATGGATAGTGAGCAGTTTACCCCAGGATGGATTTTGGTATAGTTCCAAAGCTTCTGACATAACAAAACTGTATCTCCTAACATAATCATGTCATTATGTGATAGTTTGATGGAAGTGTCATGTTCTTCCCTACAGGATATATCTGAATAATTTTAAACTATTTCACAGAGATACTAATGAATCCTACTGCTACTTTGTATTAATGTGCAGTATGATTTGTGGGAGGCACTGTGCTAAGGACTTCACAAAATTTTTACTTTATTCTTTTTATTTATTTATTTATTAAAGATTTCTGTCTCTTTTCCACCGCCGCCTCCCATTTCCCTCCCCCTCCCCCAATCAAGTCCCCCTCCCTTGTCAGTCCAAAGAGCTGGCCTGGGTCTGAAAAAGCCTGGGATAAAACCGTTCTCGCTGAACATAGCGGTCAGTGAGGACTACTGAGAACTCAAGAACAATGGCAATGGGTTTTTGATCCTACTGCACGTATTGGCTTTGTGGGAGCCTAGGCAGTTTGGATGCTCACCTTACTAGACCTGGATGGAGGTGGGTGGTCCTTGGACTTCCCACAGGGCAGGGAACCCTGATTACTTTATTCTTATAATGCCATAGGATTAATACTGTTGGCTTCATTTTACATTTGATAAATGATTAATAACCTATCCTCAAGATCACAACAATTAGAAGTGTCACAGGAAGGTGAAACACTAATTCTATGACAGTTCAGAACTCCTGCCATGCCAGGGTCTTAACCACTGGGCTACTGTGCTTCGCTAACTAAAAACACCATTCATCTATCTAGAGTAGGTATGTGACTGCTAGGAGACAGCTTCGTGTGCTCTCGACACACACAACAAAGACCTGTCAATTCTGTTGGCATTAGGCAAGTTCTCGAATATGTCTAAGCCAAAACACTTACATTGCTTATGTCTTAAGAGAAGGGAGGAAAGGTACCGGTCACATTTCAGAGAGTACCTGCTTCTAAATGAACCTGTTTGGATATTCCTGAATCAGCATTTAAAGATGCGGATATTTACAAGACCTCTGGAATATGTTCTATATATTTTCTTGCTTCACTGCTTGACCACCAGTCTGTACATAATATATAGGAGCTGACTGTGGATGAACTCACAGACATGTGCATATGCATGTTTACTGGGGCACTCCACATGGGAGCTAGGTAGAGGATCAGCCCATATGGGAGTTTTATTAATCCATAAAAATATTTTTTAAGAAAACCTTGTTCAGTAAAATAGGCCACCAGTCTCAGAAGACAAATAGTACATCTTTTCTTTATATGTGGTATCCATGTAACATGAAAATCGAAGGGGGATTTTGCCTTACAAGAGAAAATGTTTTGTTTTGTTTTTTTTAATGATTTGAAACCTTGTTTATGTTTGCCCTTTGTCTCTGAGTTATAGGAACCAAGTCAAGCAATGCAAAATACTCCGTTCTTTGTCATGAAAACTTGTTTTATTTCCTCAAACTTTAAAACAAAACCCTTCACGTTCCATGACTGTATAGAGCCACATGACACTGTGTCTTAACCTTTGTGCTGTGTGTCAGCAGCTGACTTCTTACCGAGCCGTCAGGACTGGGCTCCTTCATCTGGGCCACACACATTGTCTTGGATGTTTTGCACATAGTGTAAAAAAAAACCAACATGGAAATAGCCAAAGCTATTTGGGGTAGTGGGAGGGCATAAATGGCTGGCTTACCATTTAGTCCTTTGCCTGTATATTTTGTACCTAACAAATTTTACTGGTTGTAGGATTTTTCTCTCAAAAATAGGAATTTCTCTTTAAAAAAAAAAAAAGAAATGTTTCTCATATAGAGGAATAACCCACTTTTCCAATACCTAGCAGCTACCCCTCTGTCTGCTTGCTGTGGATGACATTACCTACTAGTGATAACATAAAAGTATACCTGAGAAGGGCTCCTGCCATATAGACCAGATGATCCCAGACTGGAGGCTTCATAAACTTCCTGTTTATTCCGAAACAAATCCTCTATCTCTAAATGTGGGTCTAATTTTCCTATTTTGGCAGATTCTGATCAACTAAAGGAAAAGATAAGTGATCTGGAGACACAGCTCGGAAAGTCAGACCTAGACAAGCAACATTTGATGGTAATTCTTATTTAACTCTAACTTCAGTATGGCCAGGGTTCTGTGAAAACAGCTTTGGGGAACAATTTTTATGATCACCATCTTTAAGTCTATGCCAAAAAACTCATGATTTATTTCACACTTACCTTAGTAGTACTAAGGATATAATTTCTCATGACAACTTTTTATTAGACAACAGCTAGCAACAACAAAAAATCAGACAAACAAATAAAAAGGAATCGAGAATAAATTTATTTTGAAGCCATAACAAATTACCTCTTAAGTTTTTTAGAATTTTTTCTTAATTTGTGGGTCATGTTGAAAACAGTATTTCTAAGTACCTTTTGAAATTATGCTCAGAGATCTTTTCCTCACAACCTTTCTATGCTCTGCCTTAAGACCCAGGAGCACAGGAGCCTGGAAGTGAGCCCTGGCTCATCACTGGGCAGTGTAAACCGCGACTGGTGTGCATGTGCCCTTCACATTCATTGCTTGACTTTTACAAATCCCAGGAGTCCATGATCATAAATATTATTTATAAAAGTTAAAAAACCAGGAAGTTAAAATACTGAAAACTCTTAAGACATTAACTTCCATGTAATGAAGAGCAGAGTCCTTTGCTTGCCTGAGAACATCTGATGCAGTTCAGAGAAAGACTTTTGTTAGTTAGCAAGGTTCCATTGCACTATTCTTTGCTTTATATTTCACTGTTCATATTCTTTGAGTTTTTATGTTTGTAATCAAATCTTCTAAATTTCAAATGAAAAACATATATTGCTCTATGTGACTTACAGGAGGAAATTAAAAAGCTGAAAAAAGAACTGGAAAATTTTGATCCTTCATTCTTTGAAGAAATAGAAGAACTGAAGTACAACTATAAGGAAGAAGTGAAGAAGAATATAATATTAGAAGAGAAGTTAAAAAAGCTTTAAGAGCAATTTGGATTTGAATTACCTAGTCCCGTTGCTGCTTCTGAACAGACGGAAGATAGAGAAAGTCCTAATAATTTCCCTATTTATTAAAGACCACATTTAACTGTAGATTTAAAATTATTTTTTAAGTTAAAAAATTTCAGCTGGCAATCAAGCAGTCTCTGAACTACAGAATTCACCTCTGAAAATACTGTATTTTTGCTTAAAGTCATATTTAGTTTTAACTTGGCAGAAAAGTATATTTTTGAAGATGTGAATTATTTATTGCTATCCAGTATACAATAAGCTATGATATTCCTATTTTTATAATGTCTTAAATTTTCTAAAAGCATAAAAATAATCTTAACAATTTTACCATTTAAAACTGAAGTTTCAGATGTAATTATTTTATAGTTTTATGTTAAGATATTCAAATTCTTTGATTTTGATAAACAGATACATAAATGTTTATAAACAGATACATAAATGTTTATAAGTTATAATAGTTTGCCAAATAGCTAGCAAAATTAAATAGAACCTTTAGTTATTTTACCTTCTGTAAACATAGCAGACTCTTCAATATTAGAAAACTGCAGTAATCCCAACTATATTTACATTTTATACATCAAATATTATATCTTTGAGCCTATCAAATTTCTGCTTATCTATTTTTGAAAACTGACTAAACAAACACTCTTTATCAAAAGCATAGCCATATTTGTTTAGGTTCATGTTAATAATAACTGGTTTGGAGTTCATGTAAGTATCTGGAAGAGGCCAGCATAGACCCAGGTGGTGGCGATGGACCTGTAAGGAGGACAATGTGGCATTAGCTGTAGTCTGTAAATAGAATCTTAATTTACCTGTAAATACTTACTTTGGGTGCCCGCTACAGATACAGTGTAAGGGTCTGCCTTCTATTACTCTTATTTTAATTAAATGTCATAGCTGTTCTTTTGACATAGTGCTGTCTATCTTCCCCATTAGAATATGAACTTTCCTGAAGGCAGAGACATTGTTTTGTTAATTCTGCCAGTACCTGAAAATGCCAGGAACATAATTAAGAGTTCCTCCCAAATTTTAATGGATATAATAAGTCTGTTGGTGAATATAGAAAAAAAAAGAAAAATGTGGGGCAGAGTCTAGCGTTCCCAAAGGGAGTAAGTGGTGGTTGGTGAGGGCAGTGTTGTGTAGCTGTTTCCTCCACATGAAAACGTCCCCTCTGGAGGGAGGCTCTTTAAGGCGCCCTGTGAGTTTGCAGCAGCACTACCAAGGACAGCCAGCTATCGGGGATGTGCAGGGGGTTCCCAGGACGCTGCTTTGTGAGTGAGCACTCAAGCTGGGGAGGGCTTGAGTGATTGATCGTGATTGATCCTTATCCACTACTGCTTCTGGGCCCTCCGTACTCCTTGTAAGCAGCTCCTTCCCAGATTCCTGTAACCCCAACAAAGTCAGGGACTCACTAAGGTCCATAAGGCGTCCTTTCTTTGGTCTGTCCTCAGCACGTTATCTGTGGCAAGTGAGTGTTCATATCTCCCCGGGACTACCACACAGTCACACGACAGACAGACAATTATGTTTTCATAGATGGTAATGAAAAGCAGTTAGGGGGAGTTAAGAAGGGGCCATTCCATGGGAAGGCTCAACATAATAGCAGCATTATACAGAAGAAATACTGTTCATTTGTGAAGAATGAGCACAGTGGATAGAAATGAACAATGAATGCTTTAGGGAGGGCAATGTAGTAGTAACTCAAGCAGGACTCTTTCCTAAATTACAGTGAGCGCCTAGCTGAGTGTAAAGAACAGAGATTCGGTAGATTAGACTTCTCAAGAACTCAACAACTAGATGCATGAAGTAATGAGAGGAAGGCTTAAAAATAATGAGTCCAGGTTTCTAATTTCAGTGAATATGTGGAGCCGGGAGTCCTAAGAACAGATTCCGTTTTGAATGAACATTATGAATTTCATATACCAGGGAGAAACAGACAAGTCCAGGGAAAAGAGCACAAAGCATAAGACACAGTTCATCCTGTGTAAGCTACTACTTTGCACGTTTTTACTAAACTCCCTATTAAGTTAGTGCACGAAGTGCTGAGTGAAAGTAGGCTCCGAATGTCTCAGAGAACACAGTAGGCCACAGGAGCCCCCAGGAGGGGAATGCATTATCACTGTAACTCCGAAGCACATCCCGGACATCCCAGATAGCCAGTGCCCGGCCTAACACCATCACTGTATACAGTGCTTTCTGCCCCTTCCCATCAACTCAGTTCTGTTTTAGCTTACAAGAATTATAGGGAATTAGCCGGGTGGTGGTGGCACACGCCTTTAATCCCAGCACTCGGGAGGCAGAGGCAGGTGGATCTCTGTGAGTTCGAGGCCAGCCTGGTCTACAAGAGCTAGTTCTAGGACAGGAACCAAAAAGCTACGGAGAAACCCTGTCTCGAAAATCAAAAAAAAAAAAAAAAAAGAATTATAGGGAATTATACTAACTGCATGCCAGAATGAATAAAGTCTATCCAGAGTCAGAGTGTCATGTCTTGGTCATTACCTTAATTAAACAGCCATCACCGCAGTGCCACACAATCCCTTCGATTTTACCCTCACTGCAGTCTTCAAACCAGGACAGCAAGTCGTTGTGTTTCAGGGTCGGCAGGTTTTCTACTTGGAAGGCTCCATGTGGTATGAGAAAGTGCAGCGGATATCTCTTGCTTCCTAGCCCTAAATGGTAAATTTCCCATTAGCCATTCTCAGTCACGTTCTTTTCAGAAAGAGAAAAGGTACCTCCCCAAATGTATAAATGTCTAAACATTTAGGAGCTATGTTAACAAAAAGGTTATTTGATTTGATTTTCTGTAGAGAATAATCCAAAGTGCATTACATCCAGTTCTCACTCAAGTGTGACACTATTTCCAAAAACTCTGTCTTACTTTCGTGTACTCTCTACACTGGGAGTTGGCACAATGACCTGCAGACCAGGTCCAGACAGACACCTGTTACCTATTGTAAGTAGGTACAATGGAATGTAGCCTTAACCATTCACTTAAGTACTGCTGATAGCCCATTTCAAAGATACAGTTAACAAAGCTTAAAACACTGGCTATCAAACATTTTCAGAGCAAAACATTTGCTAGCATGTGCTATATCGTTAGCTACATTCTGCTATTAGTGTTTACCTAACATCTTTGATCCTGTATGTAAGCTTAATACCCATCAATCAACCTACTTAAATTTGGGTGTATTATTTTCAGATGTGTAACTTGTGTTTACACTGCATTTACTTAACTCTAAAACTGTTACTGCGCCTGTCAAAAACACCCAATGGTCCTAATAAAGAGATGAATGGCCAATAGCAAGGCAGGAGCAAGGATAGGTGGGGCCAGTGGTAAGAGAGTATAAAAAAATCTGGGGAGAAGGAGGAGCAACTAGGGAACAAGGAGAAAAGGCCATCGGAGCCAGCCACGCAGCAGCCATGGACAAAGAAGTAAAGAAAGGTATGCAGAAATAGAGAAAGACAAAAGCCTAGAGGCAAAAGGTAGTAAGGATAATTTAAGAAAAGCTCAAGAAACAAGCCAAGCTAAGGCAGAGCATAACTAAGAATAAGTCTCTGTGTGCTTTATTTGGGAACTGGGTGGCAGGCCCCTTCCAAAAACCAAAAGGGTCAAACACCCACAACATGTGTATGTTTGAATACATATTTCTGTGGAATACAGGTTTGTGCAACTGCGTTGTGTGGACAGGAGGTCAACACTGAGTACTTGTTAATTGCTTTCCACCTTATATTTTGAAAAACGGCATGTCTCCTAAAGCTCAATGATTAGGCTACATTGTCTGCAAGGCCCAGATAGCCTCTTATCTGTGCCTCTCTGGCTCTTGGACCGGCATGCACCACTGCTGCCCAGCTTTGAACATGGGTGTTGGGGATCCAAACTTTATGGACTGGGCCACCTCCCTACACCTTCAGTCAGCTTTTGATCTCTAGAATTATTATAGCTTTAGAGTCTTTATTCTATTTTATGATTCTCCTTTCAATTCTGTACTCTAGCATGCCACTGATTTACTCAATTCATTTCGGTTCATTCATTCTTTATACAGGATCTGTTGCCAATTCTTCCCCTTGCCTGTGTTTACTAATGCTAAAGTGATGATCTAACGGAACAGTGCATTTCACCCAGCTAACTCCCCTAAACTTATAAAGCAATGCAAAGCTGCATCTCAGTAATTACTTTTCATGCACAGTTGTTAGAGCTGTCATGGGGAAGAATAATTGGATAAAGGCAACCTGCCGCGTTAATAAATCACAATGATTAGCCAGCCAGCCATACATTTTCTCTTGAATGTAAGATTTGGATGATGATAAGATTTCTCTTTGATATAAGAAGAGGATGTGCTCCTAGGAACTGGATGCAAATGCACTCACTGCTGCTTCAGTATGTTTCTCAGGCTGACCACAGGAAGTTCTCTCTGGAAAACATCCTCACTCACCATATGGGTTTCCATTGATATTCGTTCCTATCAGTTCCAGGGTTTGCTCTAAAAGTTCTGACAGGGGCACGGCACTGATTTCCAAAAGTCCAGGCTCATCAGGATTGTGCCGTAGGACCAGGGCAATTCCCAACTCATAATTCACCACAGAAGAATGCCAGCAATACTGCTTGCTGTTCTTTTCCACTGGGACCCAGCCTGTTAGTTAAAGAGAAGTCAGTGTTATCACATTGATTCTATTAAAAGACACAGGCATTTGTTTGGTTGGTTATTGGTTATAAATATTCCTTATTTTCTAGATTCCCTATCACACAGACACTTAAAATCAGTGGGAAAGTTAACAGTTTTACTGTTTTCCTTGTAATCATAAGGGTTCATTTGCTTATTCTGTTGGGGTATATTAGCATGAACTCAACACATTTTTCAGAAAAATCATCTTGGTTCAGGAGCAACTGAGCACTACACTCAGACAGCATTAAAACTCTCTTCTTTTAAATTTTATTTTAGTGTCTTTTCTAACTGCCTACCTTCCCTCCTGCCTGATATTGTCATTTTTTTTTCACTTAATAAAGCAAGTTCTCTGTATCATCCTACAGTGTGAATGGTGCTCCACATTTATATCCTTCCGATCCGGCTGAGCAATTATCAGTTCCCTATTTGCCGTTGCTGTTTTTACTTTTATTGCTAGGCTAAGCTCCCTCAATGTGGAAAACTTGCTGCATCTGAAAGAAACAAGCCACTCTGACCAAACACCTTACAAAATATTCTCACCCTTGAGAAAGATTCAAACTCAAAAGATCATTCCTTGCTATGTCTTTATAAACTTAAGATTTTTCAATAAACTCGATTCAGAAATTTCGCAGTATAAATAAAATGAAAAGCTAGCTTAAGACAATTTTCTGATTAGACCCTTTTTGCCTGTTTCTTATACTAAACACAAAATGATTCTGGGATACCGGGAATGTGTCCGTTCTCATCAGGTACTGGCTTCCCATTCTGCCGCTCTACTTCCTTTGCTGGTACCCAGCACTCTGGGACAGGCCGGAAGTCTTCCTCTGTGTTCCACAGATGCGCTGCAAAGAGTCAGTTAAGGCATCAGACAGAGGACAGGTACAAAGTAGAAGCGGAAAACACTCCATCGCTGGCAGATGTGAAAGGGGACTCTATTTTCCCCGCCACGTGACTACATTCCAAATTCGGGGACAAGCACCACATTTTCAACTTTCAGTACATTTATACACATTGCAGCCTAAGGTAGCCAACAATCTGCAAGGATTCAGGAGTTTTTAAATTTTTATTTTGGGGGTGTTTCGAGATAGGGTTTCTCTGTGTGATAGCCTTGGCTGTCCTGGAATTTATTCTGTAGACCAGGGTGGCCTCGAACTCTGTGAGATCCACCTGCTTCTACCTCCTGAGTGAGACTTAAGAGTTTTAATATGTACTCCCTATGCCGTACTTTATATATGTGTATATGTTACATATATATGAATAAAAATAATATATATGTATAATATAGTCATCAATGCAATAATATTAACTATCCTTTAATATCTAATTATTTTTCTCATGCAAACTAAATGAAAATGTATCTTATTAAAATACTGTATGTTTAAACATTATAGACTGATACTATAAAGAAGTTACAGAAAGGGGGGAAATAGTTTTCAGTATTTGTGTGTGTATACATGTGTGTATGCATGTGTGTGCATGTCTGGGCACTGTGCCACTGATTTAGCTCTAAAAATGAATATTATATATATGTGGCTGTGGGTGTAAATATATATATGTGTGGGAGTATATATATATATATATATACATATATACATATATAATTATTTCCCCCAAAATATATATACCTAGAAGAACTATAGCAATAATTTCACAAATTTCAACTCTTTAAATCTGAAAAGTTTGAAGAAAAACCCACTAACCTTTTGAGTTTTCTTTTGAATGTAGAAATTTTTTAAATCTTTTCTCAGCTTGCTTGTTAGGTTTTCTATCTAGTCGAGCCCAGAGGTATGGCTGACCTAAACACATAGGGAAAGTCAAGAGGAAACAAAATTCATCTTGCAAGACATTTCAGAGAGGAAAAAAAAATCAATAAGCAGTAGTGTTCTCTGTAAGAAAACGCCTAGGAGAACAGGAAACACATGATGCTCAGCACTGAGTCCTCATCCCAGCGTGTGAGGATGTACTTTGTTAAACGTGAGAAAGATGCGTGGTCTTTTTTATCAGAATGTTCCATGCTCTCTCTCTTCCTAAACCCTCCACATGAGAGCAGAACCAGGAGGCTGTGTTCCCACCTCCCCTGAACATGACACTGCCACGTGGGGTTAATTCTGGCAGACATGGAAAAAAGCCGACCTATCTGGTCACTAGACACAGAGGGTGAGGGTTGCTTACTCCTGGGTGTGAGCAATCTCAGGCCACTGAGTTAGCTTACTGTTGCCACTGCTTCCTTAGCGGGAAGATGCCTACTGACAAGGCACAGCAGGAAACTCTCCAACTAAGACTCCACCCTGAGTTCCTGACACACATCAGTAGCTCTTAACCTGAGAAAACGTGTCCTGCTGTGGCTATAAAGCACGACAAAAATACAGATTTTTTTTTTCCTCTGGTATCCCCATACCTGTTGCTCTGTAACAGACTTACTTCTGAAATCCTTACTTTATTATGTGTTTATCCGTTTGTCATCTTTGGTCCTGTGAGCATCCTTGAGCAGTAAAATCTCTAGCTCTCTAAATGCTCCCATCCTGCACATCACACATGATACACACTGGAGTTTTTTTTTTTTTTTAATATAAGAGCCTGATAAATCTTACTCAAATATATAAATCAGAGGCAGTGGGGAATATTATTTTCAGGAGCAAGGATAGATGGGGTTAGATGACACAAAGTATAAATTGCAGGAGACCCAAGAATGAAGGAGGAGGAGCAAGAGAAGAAGGAGAAGAGGACATCAGGGCCCAGCCACTCAGCTACCCAGTTATATAGCAAGTTCCAGTGAAAGAAGTCAAGAAAGGTATATAGAAATAGAAAAAGATAAAGGCCCAGAGGCAAAAGGTACTCAGGATAATTTAAGTTAAGAAAAGTTGGCAAGAAACAAGCCAAGCTAAGGCCGGGCATTCATAAGTAAGAATAAACCTCTATGTCTGTTTTATTTGGGAGCTGGGTGGAGGGCCTCCCAGAAAAGTCAACACAGAGGTTATAAAATTGTTAAATACACTATAATACTATTACTAGCTACTCATATACATAATATAAAGAGCTAGATTAAAAATATATTGTTTCTGGTTGAGTAGACTTTTTGTCCTTTTTACTGTTAAACATATAAAATGCTTTCCACTAACATCCATTAGGATAGCTATCACCAAAAATAATAAATGTTCCTAGTAGGGAAATGGAAAAAGTGGAATATCTGGAAGCTAGAACTTCTGTGTGACCATTATGGAAAATGTATGATGGGTATTCAAATTTTCTAAATTAGAATTAACATATGATCCAGTAATCCCACATTTATATAGGTTCATAACCCCCCCCCCCGCAAAAAACTGGAAGCAGTACTTTAGGAGAGATAATGCATTATTAATAGAATTATCAATGGTGGCATGAAGGTAGGAGCAACCCAAATGCCTATCAGTGGCTAAACAGATAAACGAAATGTCCTATGTACATATTAAACAATTTTAAAAATGTGTGCAATTTGACACAATCCAATCGGGTAAAATACTGAACTAAAAGAGTAAACCAACCACAAAGAGACAATTATATGAGTTACCAATAGCTAGAAAGTAGAAGAAACTAAGAGGCTGTTGTATGAAGCCGCTTGTTTGTTCCCCACTGCTCAGCCCCGAAATAATCACACAGAAACCACATTATTTGCAATACTGTTTGGCCAAGAGCTTGAGCGTACTTCTGGCTAACTCATATCTTAAATTAACCCATCTCTACTAATCTGTGTATCGCCACAAGGCTGTGGCTTACCCGGTGAAGTTCAGGCATCTGTCTCTGACAGAATTTATACAATGAAAAAGATAATACGTTTAGTAAACATGGGAGTTGTATTTTACCTTTGTGGTTAGTAACATAGCAACACGTCCCATCCACCTTTTCTGTGGCAATGGCATTGTACACATCTGCCTCTAACGCCTTTTCACTTAGTGTTTCGGTTGCCAAAACTTTAAATGGCTTAAAAGAAGAAAGAGAGAGAGAAAAAAAAAAAACTGGCATAAGATATACAGCCTCTGACTTCACACACAGGCTCACATGAACTGTGCCTAATTCCCTTAGCCCCAAACAACTGTCTCCTAGGTCTCACTCTGCAGCCTAGGCTGGCCTTGAACTCACCATCCTTTGGCTGTAGCCTCTAGTTTGGAGATTCCCCTCCTGCCCCACCACAACAGCTCTCCCTCTCTGTAGTGTGATCACACTCAAATTGATTGTCCATGAGGACTGTGATCTACAGGCTTGTCCTCCACAATGGAACCAGGAGCTGTGTCGTATGGCTATGCACTGACCACAACAAGTATTGTACCTGACACTGGAAATACAGAGAAGTACCCACCTTTGGTGAAACTCAGACGTTAGAGGGCTATGACAGAAATAAAATGCATCACGTTATTACACGGATGAGTACTAAAGAGGAAAACACAATGGAAAGGCACAGGAAGTCCTCTAAGGAGGCAACATCTGAGCAGATCTGACGTGGGGAAGAAAGGCCCACAGTCAGGGCATCCTGTGTCTGAGGAACCCAAGTCAGCCACTGCGTTTGGAACCACGTGCAGGTAAAACATGCTTACTTCATTCCAGAGTGTGCCTGGTGGGTCAAGACATGGGATTCGCCAATCACAGTTCTCCGAGACTCAGTCTACTCTTCAATGAGATCTTTACAAAACTGACTTTTTCAAATCGTACTTGGTTCTTAGTTGTGGGGAGAGTCTAGTGACGTCCTTTATCTGAGCTCACATTTTCAGAAAAAGAGACGATGAAGACGGCTCCTCGTTTGAGTTTTTAAAAGACTGACTTGCAAAGCTGCAATCTACATGCTTGCTTTAGATGCCCATCTAAAAATCTCTGTGGCTACCCATCCAACTATGTTTGTGAAGCTTCCTTACGAAATGCATTTTCCTAGTATGCAGGCCAGACCAGGATCCACTGCCGTTGCCTCCTGGAGAAACTTCCAGCAACTACTATATGGTAAGTCTACCCTAGGTGGTCAAAGGTGATCAGGCCTCCTGGATTGAATCGCCCATTGCTGCTCCTGGCACAAAGCCTATTCAACATCTGAGGCCAATTTTGTGTTCTAGTTCTACCCTGCCCAGGTTTCATTGTTAAAAACCACCAGGAATAACTTGCCTGCTGTTTCCCTCCGAGGTTGCTTGCTTTGCTAGGGATTCCCTTCCTGTTCTTTTTTGTTGTTGTTGTTGTTGTTGTTCTTTTTATCTTTATCAACAATTAGCTGTCTACAAGTTTCATTTACGACTTTGCTACTGTCAGGAAGAAAACAAAGCGTCGGGGAGGGAATAGGGGCTACTTCTGAGATCCTGACAAGTTTTTAGCTATAATTTTTATTTATGAGAAAATTTTATGCTACTATTTTATAGTCTAAATCAGAACTTTCACTTTATATAATAAGGTAATAATAATAATAAACACGGCACAAAGCAAAGGGAAATGGTGGTCAGACAAAATTCGGTACTAGAACACTATACTCGTTTCATTGATTTGTGTGAGGTACACGTATGTATGTGCATGCGTGTGTGTGTGTGAACATGTATGTGTGAATACATGCCCATATGAGTGCATGTGGAAGCCAGAGGTTATCACCTTATCTTTGGAGACAGAGTCTCTCACTACACTTAAGAGCACAGTGGTTCTGGTTGGTAAGCTCTAGGGTTCTACTGTGTCCCCTCTACAACTCGGAGATTACAGACATGTGGGTGCTGGGACCGGAACTGAGCTCCTCGGATCTGTGTAGCAGCCACCTTCCAAGTCCGTGATATACTACTTCAGTATTGACTTATCATCGGTGTGTGACAATGGGTCCAGGAGGTATGATTCTAAGCCACTGTGGCAAAATGCTAGTGACAGCATGTGTGTGAGTGTGTGTGCACGCACGTGCATGCCTGTACTTATGTGTGTGTGTGTGTGCATTTTTAAATTTATAAAATGGCAAGGAGGGTGACTACGCCCTTGAAGTTGTTAGTGACTGTAAATGTTCCTCCCATGGGGATCATTTCTCTACTACAGTTTGCTATTTACTCCTCCACCTGTGCCCAAACTATGGCAAAAGCAAGAAGCATTTGTGTACATAAACAGGCAATGCGGATTGATTGGGTGTTGTGCAATTTCTAATCAGGGATGAGTAATTTAATCAAGTTTTATTAAGATCTACTGAAAAGCACTGAAGGTAATTCAAGCAGAGTGGTTAGCCTGGGAAAAGCATGAATGCTTAATCTGTTTACAAGATGAAAGATGTTGCAACAACTCCACACTGAGATTTTAAAACAGACTGGGCCTAATTAATAAGAGACTTTGGATAATTACTTGGACACTATGCTGTAACCAGATAGCTTTAACTATAAAGAGATGAGAGGGTGTTTTTTTTTCCCTAGTATAAAGTACTTTTAAAATTACGCCCTATCCACAATATTCAAAGCTGAGAATCATGATTAAAATGAATCATCAAGGATGAGTGTTTTGCAATACTTAGATTTATTATGATTTTTGATCTAAATAGCCAGCAATACCGATACTGAATACTAATCTTAGAGCTTTACTAGAAAATATAGTGGGGATCATTCTGGCAGCAAGTACAACTTATTAAGTAGTACCGTAAACACCATTATGACATTTGAAGTGTAATAACGAGGCAGTAGAAAGGAATATGGAAAGATCAGATGTTAGGAAAAGGTAAGAAAACATCAAGGTTGATGGAAAACTGGCATGAAGACTCCCAGAGTCCTTCGAATTAAAATTTGACAAATGCTAATTCATGTGTCAGTTCCTAGCAGCAGGGACTAAGAGATAACAGGGCATCTTGTTAATGGCCATTTAATCTAAAAGACAAGAAAGGGGCCCTAGGGAGAAAAAAACGAAGATCTAAAAGGGGGAATAACAGAGCACAAAAATGAAAAGGGTAATGGTGTGTGCGAGGGGGTGCAAACTGGAGACTTGGGGGAGATGTGCAGCCTGCTGACGTGGAGAGGGGACAATACAAATTATGGATGAAAATGCTAAAAGGAGTGGTGGCGCACGCCATTAATTCCAGCACTCGGGAGGCAGAGGCAGGTCTAGTTCAAGACCAGCCTGGTCTACAAGCGCTAGTCCCAGGACAGGTTCCAAAGTTACAGAGAAACCCTGTGAGAGAGAGAGAGAGAGAGAGAGAGAGAGAGAGAGAGAGAGAGAGAGAGAGAAGAGAGAAGAGAGAAGAGAGAGAGAGAGAGAGAGAGAGAGAGAGAGAGAGAGAGAGAGAGAGAGAGAATGGAGCAAAAAAAGAGATAGAGAGGAGAGAGAGTGTCAAAAGGAAAGCTCTTACTTTTTATGCTAACTAAAATAAACAAACAACCCACAAGAACAACAAAAAGGCCAGAACGCCAATCGTAGAGTGGTAAAGGTGAAAAAGAGTGGAATTGATTTCAAATGCACATGCTGATTGTGTCTGAGTTGAGAGGTAAAGAATTTTTGCTACATATCAAAAAATCACGCTGATAAAAACTATGTATTAACTCAGTTACGTTCGCGCAAGGCTCACTCTGTAAAACACAGAAGATGACTAGAAAACCTTAGGATGGGCACTCCGAGTTAGAAGTAAGCAAGAAATGACAGGCGGACTGACTTTAGCGACCTAGTCAGGCTAGCTGTCAACACTGTCATGGGTTTCTAGGACACAACAGGTAAACAATGCTTTCTCATCAGACTCTTGATCGACAGTCGTTCCAAGTTAGACGACCCTGATATCTCACTCACTACTCAGGTTTTTCACTCAACGGCGCTGGCGTGGGAAGGAGAACATTAACTGCGATGTAGGTTTTCAAACCTGCCAGAGCAAGTTTAAATCACTTGATCTAGGAGGGGAAAATTAAAAAAAAAAAAAAAAAAAAAACCTCTCTCCCACACTCCTCACAACGAAGAAGGTCCACGAAGCTGGAGCTCAAGGTATACTTCACCCAAACCTCCCCTGTAAAACCTGCAGGGCTCCCGGGCCGCCGCGCAGCGCTGGAGAAGCCGCCCAGCAGCCCAAGTCGCCGGGTACCTGATGCTCCCGCTTGGCCGAGGGCTCGGCTTTCACCTCCGTCACAAACACGCACGGCATCTTCCGCTGCACCGAGCCCAGGCGGCTCATGGCGCCACTCCGAGTCTCCTGGACGCAGGATCCCGGCCGGAGGAAGCCCTGCAACAGGCAGCCAGAGAACAGAACCCGGTCCTGCCGAAGAGGGGCGGGGACGCATGCCCGGAAGCGACCGCCTATTAGCGGCGCATTCTGGGAGTTGTAGTGCGGCGTTGGGGCTACTGCGCTCGCGCCTGCTCGTGTGTGATTCCCGAATAAAAAAAGAAAAGAAACAAGATCCGTTACCCGGTGTTGTGTACTTGGCCACAACTTAGTAACGATGATATTTTCGGGACTTGATATTCAGTTTAGGATGCAACTTGGCACGTTTCTCCTGAAACTGACTTGTCTGCTTTTTCTTTAAGATTTAAAGGGATTATAAACCCGGAGAAGTTTAGAAAGAACTATTAGACATTTCCTAATGTGCAGACAAAACCCCTGATTTTCCAGGAATAACATTAGTAAAACTCTACAATTAACAGAACTGGATTTTTTTTAAAGCTTCCGTTTGAATTTATCATCGTACAGTGTCTAATTTGGTTCTTGGTGTCCTTTCCAATGAGTAAAATTTAGACAAATCCCAAACCGTGGAAATATCAACAAACGGCAGCACGGTCAAGGTTTCCCTCGGACTCCAGCAGAGAGCTTTAATTGTATTCAATCAACTATCGAGCTGAAAATAACATGCTTAGCTTGACTTGCTATCCAAAATGACATTGGATGGTAAATAATAAAATTAATGCTTGTATAAATATAAAAAGTATTATATTCTAGTAGTAGACCTATCTCACCGAAGCCTGAGGCCATAAGGAGATTTTTAACCTTACCATCTTAGGTAATTGGAAAAGCCAATTTTTATTTCTAAAATTTTTTTAATCTCAATTTGTATTTCTATAATAGCTTTATCATCATGTATCCAACTGCCCAGCATTTTATTTACTTAAGCTCTTGGGGGAAATTAAATAACCTCATCTGCCTTGAAAGTATATGAGGGGACTCTCAGAAGAATAAAAGTATCTCTAAAAACATGCTCATAGTTTTATGATTGCTGGACTCACAATGGAGGGTGTGAATGAGGAAAAAGTTGGCTATTTTGCGATCTTTCTCTTCTGGCACCTAATTTTTTTCTCATAGGCAAACACACACAATTTTATCCAAAACAAAAGAAACTGAGGGTTTAGGGGTGGAAAAAGACTATACCCACATGGTTCTGGCTCTGTGGTGTTGAAGCCAGAAACTCCTTAGCCTCTTAACTTCATGAGTTGGTAACTATTTGAACCTCTAGAGCTTGTCTCTTGGGTCTCGGACAATCAAATGACCTTCCCAACTTTCAACTGTCACTTTCCAAACTGCCACAGAATATTCTAGATCCAACATTCTGCCATTTCTTAGAAAAGATAATCTTCCAAAAACATTCCACTTGCTTCAAGCCTCTCCTCTCTGGAAGCACCGGCGGCATTATTTTGGTTCCTTCAATGCTTCAATATTTTGGTTCCTTCAAGGTAGAAACAGAAGAACCCACACCAGGAGATCATCAGAGGATCAGGCTCCTACTCGGAAGGATGGCAGCCAGCAGCTTCCCCAAATTCAGATACAGAGCTGATTGTAGGGCCCCTGGCCACCAACCTAAAGTGGTACTCGGGATAATTGGAAGATTTTTCCTCTCTGATGTGTTAGTAACCTAGCACACACCAAGAAGAAACTCCATCAGAGGCTATCTTGGCTTGCATGATTCAGGATTTCTTGGTCTGTTTTGAAGACAAACTTCCTAGCACTTTTTATTACAGGGAGAGAGAAAAAAAATCCTCTTTGAGTAGAAGCAGAGCTTCCTGTAAAAGACTAAAATGAAAAACACAACAGGATGGAAATGAAGCGAAAGTGAAAAGTAAAATTAGGGATAGGAAAGAAAAGAACTAGAGAGGAAAAGGGAGGGCTCTGGGTATCCCAAGGACTAACAGAAGGTGCCCAACTAAAGTTTTACACAATGAAAGAATCTTTTTTTTTTTTTTCAAATCTCTCTGTGATTTTGAACGGATTTTACTGTCTAGTGGAATGTGGGCTACTCACCAGCTGGCGAGGTGAAAGCATTTTTCGGCGCTTTCCATGTGAAATCACTTAATTGGGCAATAATAGTGTTTGATAACAGTATCTGAAAGCCATCTAGTGACTCTTCACACTCAGTCACAAATTCATCTGGAGCAGATGCACACTTGAAAATTCTTCTCGGGGGGTGTTTTTCTGACATGCCTGTAAAGATGGGCACCTTACTGCCAGAGTTAGAGGTGCAAGCCAAAAGGCAAGACTTATCTTCATGTTTTTATCAATAATTTCAAAGGTTTTTGTCAAACCTTTATCTGCTCTTTTACCTCTAACACTGCCTCGTTCCTTTTATTTTACAGTTACAAGCAAGAGAACCTAGAGTTTAGCTCTAGATTATTACTCTAGACCTCTGGACTAAAAAAGTTCATGGCGATTTTACCCTGTTTTACTTAAAGTGGAGACCAATGTTTGTCTTGATCATCTATGACTTCAATGAAAAGACTGCAGTAATTTAAAAACATACTTTGATCCAGTGTGCTCAAGTCATCACCAGCCAACTTCTAAGTGATCTCTGATGAATATTCTTTATTTCTGTTGGATTCTGATCCTTATAGGAAAGATGATCAGATGGATACTTTAACAACTGCTCACTGAAATGTTTCCCTCTGGGAGTCAGAGGGCTTCATATTATTTTCAACAAATTCTCCAAGGTTTCAAGCACGCTGGAACCCTTTGCTATCAGATGAAACTAATTTTCCTTTTGTGATGGATGAAAATGGAATAAAGTCACTGGATGAATAGGTACTCCTGTTTATTTTCTTGTACGTTTATTACTGTTACAATCTGGCACAGAGGTTTTTTTTCTTTTTAAAGTCAGTGTATATAGCAACAGATACATATTAAATGATTGTACCTATTTCTTGGGATTGTAGATAGCATATTTACGTTAGTTCCATTTTCAAACCACATATAGAAATAACTTTCCTCACTAAATACTTACCCATTTCAACTTTGAAAATATGAATTTGTGTTTCTTCTCTAACCATAACACTGAAAGATAAAAGACAGTCTTAAACTTACAGATAATCTTTTAGTATATTTAGTATATATTGGGCAAGGAAAGTATTCCCTTAGGTGAAGGAGCCTACAGTTGCATATGAGGTCATTTATGGTGAGCAAACAATGGATTGTGTAACAATGAGGAAAATTCTGGAAGTTTGAGTTTGTGTGATTACTAGTAACCACTGTCAACATTTCTGCAAAGCTAGAGAAGGTATCTTCTAATTTAAATTTCTTTAAGCATTATCTATTGTGTAATATACTGTCAACAGGAGGTCAGTTGTCAAGGAATACTACTGATAGCCCGAAAGACTGTGGAAAAGAACAGTTTCCCCCCTTACACTCTGATAGTTCTTATATTTGTGTCCCTGCAATTTGTACGTACTTATAAACACACAGTCATTGGATTAGCAGCAAGAGATTGAAAATGGCAGAAGTTGGGAATGACTGCTATTTCTTTGTTAATTCCACATGCATAAAGGTAAATATTGTACAACTTACAGTACCCATGCTTAAGCTTTTTAGTAGAGTGAGGGAAGAAGCAGCAATAAAAAAGATACCTTAATTCTGAAGTAAAAGCCTATATATTTCTAATATCCTGAATTTATGTTAGAAAGTCTGGGTTAATTTAAAATTATTATGTATTTGAATTATTCTTTATATATATAGTTAATTTCATGACAGTTTTTATATGACATTTGCATATATTATTCTTTAAAATCAGATTCTTAATTCTGTACACTATATAATGATATTTAAAATATAGAATGTTATTTTGGTGAATATTACTTCAGTCATACATTGTTAAATTGTTGAATTCAGATTGCTATCAGTGGTGTAGTATATTTTTTCTTCTTTGAAATTCATTAAAAGTTATTGCACTTTTCCTGTTGGAAGTCTTAGTAACAAGTATTTAAACACCATGTCAAAAGAGATCGAATGCAGCGTACGTAAACAAATCAACCACAGTTATAATGTTAAGTGGAAACACTGAGTTGGGATTAATGGATATTAAAAAATTAATAAATGTAGAAACTCAATGACTGCTCATGTACCAGATGAACCTAAAAAAGATAGATGTTCTGTCTGGTCAAACATCTTTTAGCTCTACTAGCAACCTGGAGTCAAACTCTTTGGCCACAGAATTGAGCCCACTTTTGTCAAGTTACCTGTCAAAGAGTTCTTGGATGGCAGACTTTCCGTGTTTTGTCTCTTTCTCTGTCTATCCCCACGTGATTGATGAATAGTATCTTGTAAGAAAATGACTAGATAGAATTTTTTTTAAAGAATAAAAGCAAATAGAGAGACTGAGTTAAACTGTTAATACGGTGGCTGTTGAAACGTAGTAAAGCTGTGGGGTTAAATACCAGTTTGCCTGAACACAAACTCACCGCCCATTATCCTGTGCTCTGAGAGTACAAACTCCATCTTTGATGGGAAAGGAAAGTGAGTCGAGAAATAGAAGGAAGGCAAAGAGCATATGTCAGAGAGAAAGGAATGCAATGGAATGTTGTTATCACTCGCTGTTCCCCTGTCTGAGACAGTGGCCTACAGTTTTTCCAACTGTGAGTATATGCAAAAAAGAATGTAGAATTCAAAGATAAAGCAGTAGCAGCCAGTTGACATGATCCACATCTACTTTGGTCGGTATGTAAAGTACCTTAGTCAACTGTTTTCTTTGTAGATTAAGAACATGAAACATATATGTTATGTGTAATGTGGAAATGACTTCAGATTTCACAGAATCTCACAGTGGAGATTCCACTTACTTTCTCGATATCAACCCAGTCTGCAGCCTCTCCATAGTCTTAGTGGTTGGTAGAGTGGATCTTCACATGCAGAATATTGCTAGTGCTTTGTAGATACTTGCCAAGCTTTCTTCAGAAAAGAAAAATAAAGCCTCCTTCTTCTAGTATTGCAATCAAGGGAGTCTCTAGTCTTACATCTTTGCTCTTAGTGAATGCTCACTGGATACAAAACACAGCATTTTGAGAGTAACTTGCGGGGAGTTATCCTATGGTGTTTGATCATGACATTTTCTTATTACTTTCTCACTGAAAAGAGGCAGAGTTGCTCCCACTTAGTCGTTACAAGCCTGCATTCGTAGTATATGTTTTCATGATTCCAATTTTATATAGACTCCTTGTTTTTTTTAATTGGTTTAACATTTATTTTGTTATTAAACACTAAAATTAATATATTGTGTCTTCTGCATTGTTTACTTCTCAGGGTTCCCAGTGCCGATTCCGACACTGTGAAGAAGCCCTTGGCAGTGACACTGTGTGCTCATTATGGAGAGAGAGAAAATGTTTAGATCCACTTTGCAGATTTAGACACATGGAAATGCAGGTAAAACAACTGGTCCTTTTCACTAAAGGAATTTTCCTTCTGTGTCATTGAATTAAACTTTTATAACAAAATAGAAGTTGTTCTTCCTCCCAGAAAATCTTCAGTGTTTATCACTTCGCTCAAACTAAACTTAGAGAAAAATAAAAGACCACTTTATCTTTTAAACAGAAAAGCTGAGAGGTGGCAAAATGTAGGAAACAGAGGTGATTCTAAGCCAGCAATAAAAGCTTTTCTTGTCACATTGCATTGTGTTCTAGCAGTCTGCCTTTACTGTGAGAGCCTAAACATTGTATTTCCCTCACTTCCTTTTCATAGCAAAACTGCAGCATTTCATGCTTCTGGGAAACCCAACCTCTTGGTTGTGTGAAGATCAGTTGTATCTTTTACCACAGCAAACCCCGAAATATCAATGGATTATTTTTGCCACCAAGTAGCAGTGAGTATATCTGTAATAACTGATTTTGTGGCATTATAGTCTGGTCTTGGAGTTTGAAGCCTTTTTTGCGTACAAAAATGAGGTGAGGAGGTCAAGAATCTCTTATCCCTGCAGAGAGAGAAAGCAAAGGCACACTCTGGGTTGCAGGTCTCTTTTCTGTCACAGCAGCTGTCTGCAGTGATACTAAAATTCTCCCTTTATGTGAGACTTGTCATAGATTTTTCACAGAACACGGAGGACCTCATACTTAAGGGAACCTTGTTGGAGAAATTGGTGATTTCAAGATTTTTCCGATGCTGCAGCAATCTTATTCTGCGATGGTCACTGTACATCTTTGGTGGAATGGTCTTAGATATGAGCAGAATATGATATTAGCCCTTTGAGAATTAAAAGATTAGTTTCATATAACCCCAACAAGTGAATAGCTAAGACTTTAGCTCTTTTATTGCATACTTTGGGAAACTTTTGACTTCATCAAGCACATCGCATATGTAATACTTTTATTATTGTTTCTCTTTCTCACTAGATTGTAAGCATCTGGAGGATGGGGAACATAAATTTTTTTGCCATTGCTTTGCAATGTCTGGACCAAAAATAGTGTGCAGTAAATTGGTTGCTTAGACACATGGGTGGGGTGTGAAGAGATGAAATCTAAGCAGTACTTTAAGAGGATGAAAATACCAGAGTGATGTAATGAATTAACCTGACTTCCTTAGTTTACAACAGTATGAATTTTTTTTTATCCAATGAGACACATTCCTGTGACATTATTTTTATCTGGTAGTTTAATCCCAGGGATTTCACTAGCTCTTGAAAGACCAGCAGGAAACAAAGACCGCCTCCTCTCAAAGCAGGCTGGATGGGATGCCTGTGTAGATGACCATCATTGTCTTCCCCACTGTTAAAATAAGCTCTGCACTAATTGATGTCATGCTGTTGGGTGGGTTGTTCTTGTATGTTGTGAAAACTGCTCGTGGATAAAGAAAGCACATGACCATAATGATGGAGTTTGAATTCTTGACCACAGATCTCAAATGAGTCGATACTACTGATTTCAGCGATGCTCTGTGTTAGTCCGCAGGTAGATCTCTTCTAGACTATAATCTTCAATTGTTTTTCCTTCTCATTCATCTTCCAACATCTCCACATCGCAGATGGTGACCCTAATATCTTACTGAAGAACTGAAGGGACAGGTAGAGAATTTCTAAAATTTCCATTTCCCCACCTGACTACCATCAGGACTAGTTTCCTCTTCACACGGCACATAACAAGCTCTCATTCTCCACCTAATCTATCTTCCCACTTGGTGACTAAATGAACGTTAACTCAACAGTTCTTTCTGCGACTTCCACACAACTGTTTTTAATCTTACCGAGCCATTCCTTTGATTATCTCTTTGCTAACTAATTAGTATTTCTCCTCAATTCATTCACTCTAGTAGTTATGCCATATTGTTGTTTCCCACTCAGTGGCACTAAAAGTATTTTGTTTATTCTTGCTGTACGTATTTTTTCTCCCTCCCGTCCTCTCTTTTCAAACAATCAGGTTTCTTTGGCCCTTCTACCTCCTGTATGAAGATTCTTAAATACACTAGTCAAATCTGAGTCCTTGTGTAACTTGAGCTGTTAGAAGATGTGAACACATTTGCTATCTCTTTCTCTTTTCATGTAATCCCCTAGAAGTTTGCAGACCTTAATACTGTCTTCATTCTGTGCCCCATTTGACTTGCCCTTGCCAATTACACTTCACGGGTGGTGTCCAGGAAAGTTGTTGAACACCATTATTGCCACATAACTGTATTGTTATAGCTGCTCCCCGTTTCCCCCTGCTTTCTCTCTATGTACAGCACCTACAGTCTTATGACCAAGCAGATTTTAGTCCTCTACTCCAAATCCTCTAGTGTCTTTTCATCTAATTCAGAGAGGTCAGAGTCCTAACGAGAGCTTGAATTCGGAAAGTTATTTGATCAAGTACTCTGCTAGCTCCCTGAACTCAGATACTTCTCATTCAGCCCCATCTGCATGTTTCCCTATTTGCCTTTCCTGAAGCATATTCGCATATTCCCGTTTTCAGGGCTTTGCATGAAGTGACTTTTCCTCTATATCTTTGTGGCAAGCTACTTTGTTTCATCAAAGTTTTGCTCAAATATTGCCTTTAATGAGCTCTGTACCTAGCGCCATCTTTGAAATGTAGCCTGTGGTCCCACCTCCTTCATATACTCTTCCAATTTTCCTTGCTCGCCTCTATTTCCTGCTTCCCACACCCCGTTAACTTCTCAGATGCAGTATAATTTGGTTGCTCTGTGCATTGTTTATTGTCTAATGAGTCCCTGTAGAATAAAAGCTCTATGAGACCAAGAATCTCGAGTTTGTTCACTTACCAATATCATACACTTAACAATTCTACCCTGGGAAATCTTGAGTATTAGTTAATCATATTGAGCTGAAAACTCAGTCACGTTAAGTTTTCCTCTGCTCAGACACAGTTCTGTACTCTAGAAAGAAAATTCAATATCTAGGTCGTAGGTGAATGCTTGTTTTTGTCTGTTTTGTTTTGGTGTTACAAAGCACCAAAGACTGGGTATATATATATATATATATATATATATATATATGTTTGCATACATACATACATATCTGTATATATAAGAAAAGGGGTTTATCTGCCTTACGATTCTAGCAGATGAAAGGTTTAAACAACACAGTACTGATGTCCTGTGAGAGTCTCCCGGCTACTTCACAATATAGCAGAGAAGTAAAAAAAAAAAGTATGAGTGCAGATAGCACCAGGGGAGATGCCAGCCTTGTGTTAAAACAGTCCACTCATGGGATCCACGAATCTCAGAAGACCTGACCCTTAACCGAGAGAGAGCATGAATCCATTCATGAGAATAACAGTCTCATGACCTTATTCTCTCCCATTGGCCTCACCTCTTCAAAGATCCACCACCACACGCCACCACACTGGGGCCCGAGATTCTAATACATCAAACTTTGTGAGATAAACTATGTCCCAAACATACCAACTATCAAGGGTTTTAAAAGAAATATGTCTTGAGCTAATATATTACCTATTTATTTTGGAAATATTGAATACTATAAAAGGTATAAGATGATCCCTAGCAGTTATTTATATTATTTGTAGTAATGTCTGTCTACCAAATGCTATATCAATTAGAACTAGAATCATAAATCTCTTTTTAACCTTAGACCATTGAATTGTCGTGTAGGACATTTAAGGAAAAACATCTGCCTTCCTGTGTTTCATTAAGAACATATAACTGCTTATCAACCCAAGGTGGAAATAGTATAAATTATGAAAAGACAAAGCTAATATAGCATCAGTTAGCACAAAGCATTATGTAATCTATATGTATCGATGTCACTCTGGTCAAGATAAGATAAAACTTGTGTATTTAAAAAAGCAACCAGCAAAATGGTTTTGTGTGGGATTTCCCTTGCTGAGATGAGACCCACCAGCAATGTGAAGTGTGTGAGATGGAGCCACGAATGTTATCTAAGTCACCAGCCGTCCTCTTCCAGGGTGAAGTGCTTCCCCAAATAATTTTCCATTAGTTGATTTGACATTGTAGATCACATCTACACTCTTAGTAAAATTATCACTTAAGAGTTCTTCATGGTTCTCTTCATGGGGCTGTGGGGTTTATATCAAACCGCCAGTTAAGCTGGACATGATAGCACATACTTATAATCCTTGAAATTGAACACTCAGTCATCCAGTGATGATCTGAGCCCACTGCATCCCTCCACTGGCTTAAGGGATAGAAACCCAACTGATTTGATTGAAGAGAAAACTGGAAACTTGGGGATTATGTAATCAAAGAGATTAAGGACAGGGCTGATCTCAGATGCAGGCTTTTCCTCACCCGTTCTTGGTTCGGAAGTGTCTCTCCATAAGCTATTGTTGCTCCAGAAGCACCAGACATAGACAGACTTTAGAAGTCGAATTACCAGAGTTAAAGATCACTGACTGCAGTTTAAACTGGGTTAGAGTCTCATCCTGCCTTAAGCACACTTGCCAATGTAACCTTAGGCAACTCACTGTGGCACAGTTATTTCATCTGTAGGATACAGTCACGTGGCCTGTGTTGTGGGTTGTTTCTAAACTGTCAGCTGCACTACACTCAAAATTATTACCAATATCATTACCACCGTAATGATTACAGCCATCTTAAACTGTGTATTAGGAAAAGGCTGGTGAAAGTCAATGCTTAGAAAAAGCCTGCTTTTCTGCGCATGAAATATTAAAGGCAATTCTAGAAAAGACTCAGAAAGCATGAAGAACTATGGAAGGAGGCTATTTTAGAAGACGTTGGCCAAGGTCACAATGCTGAAAGAGGCATGTGAAGTTAAGAAATAAAACATCACAAAGAATGGTTTGTCACTGAATTTATTATCAATACTGGTTGAACAGACTAAAGTATTGTGTTTTCTCTGTAGACACCACCTTACAGAAAGAAAGTCAGGAAGGAAGTCCATCCCCAAGCCAGAGTCAGGAACCTCTGAAACCCATGGAGAATGTATCACGACCCATTCATAATCCATTAGTTTTAAAAACTAACTTTGAAGAAGAAGAGGAAGAAGAGGTAGAAGAGGAACAAAATGGTTAGTACCCCTTTTCTTGGTTTACAGTACACATGTAAAAACCCACAGTATTTTCTACATACTCCTCAACTATGAGAGGCTTAGGATGCAACATATATACCAGGTTTTGTTGAGAAAATACTAATATTATCAAAGAAATGAGTCTTAGTTTCTAATTTATTCTCTGTCTATGTGTGCTTATGTTTCTTTGGGCCAAGAGTTTTTGTCATATGATGGCTGGGAGCCATGTGTCATGTTTAAGTACACATGTACTCACAGATAGTCTCATAGGAGACAACTGCCGGGATGCTGGTGTACATACATCTATTTCTCTTCACGTTTACTCTTTTGAGTTTTAAGCATCCAGGCAGTAGCTTATAATTTATAAAGTACTGTAATCTGCACCATTCCTGATATCGGTAGAGAAGTATGTACAGAATTAGGACCCATGTGTTCTGCATTGTGGTCCTTCCCTTTCCTCTCACACCATCACAGCACACTTGAGCCATTCAGATAAATTTCAGGTAAACGACCCTCTCCCCCCACCCCCAGAAAAAAAAACAAATTTACTTTGTGTCTGCCCCGGAATGCATCTTTCTGTGGGTACCAACCGATATAGTTTCTGTGCTTAGGGAAGCACAGAACTCTTCACTGTTCTTTTAGATAGACATAGTTTCTTCCTCTCCTGTGTCTACATGCTCTACTCCCTGCCCCCCCAGCTTCTCAGCAAGTCTGGGTTTTCAGCTTCTCATTTTAGCACACAGAGCATAAAATATATAATTTCTCTTTGATGATTCTTTAAAATACTGAACATGAAAGCAAATACGAGTTTGCACTTTTTTTTTAAGTTCAAACATTAGATGAAGAGCAGTCCATCCATGAAAACAGTATTTGGGATTTTTCTTTCTGATTTATAAATTTTCAGATTATTTAGATTTGGGACAATTTAATTTAAAAAAATATATCCTATAGATGCTTCTAGTTTATGGACAAAGACCCCCGAAGAAATTGAAGAGAAAAGAGCAATAAAGGAGATGTGTTATAAATCTGGTAAGACATCACACATTTGTGGAATTTCCAAGGCTTGGTTTTGCTCCACCTCCTAACCATTCTCTTCTCACGGGAGTTTAGGTGAATACTATAGATTCCATGCTCCTCCAGACACTTCGTCATCAAAAAGCACAGCTCCTACAGTGGAAAAAGAGTTAGAAAAGCCTTTGGAAAATGGCAGTGAGTTGCAAGAAGGTAAGAAATGAGATGATAATATTCAAGGTGATATAAGAGATATTTAGTGAGTAGACCTTGAATTTTTTCGTGCAGTGTACACGAGAACAGGATTACATGATAAATCTGGTTTGAGAGTGAGAGGGAAACTTTTTACTACTGGATGACCCAAGTTTCCTATGAAAGGATGCTGCTAATGTAATGATGTTTCAATGAATGCACTCTACAGATACAGGGAATGCTCACACTCCACACAGGAATTCTGTATATAATTTGCCTTTCTGTGTCTGTGGTATGTCTTTCTGTGAAATAGGAATTACTGTTTTATTTTGAATAGAAAGGATAACCCAGACCAGGATGGACAAAAGTGAGGCAAACTGATATCAGTGGCAGAATGCCAGTCTGTCTGTTGAATGAGTGTATTTTGTGTATCAAACAATCTTAAGGAGGTTTTGATGGACAAGTCCTAGGCTCCTTCATTCATGATGCATTTCCTTTAAGCAGGTCTGAGTTTGCTTCTGGTCAGCACTTTGTCCTTGAAGACAAGACAGAGAGCATTGTATTTTGTATAGAAAAGCAGGAACCTGAAGAAAAGTCCATATGTGTTAAAAGTTTATGTAGGGTTTCCTGGTTTCAAGTGAGCTTGTGCACGTATCATAGCAATAGCAGAGAATTTAATTGCTCCCCGATCCTCTCAAGGACAGGAAGGGGGCGTACACAGAGAGAGCAGCTAGCAGAGAGAAGGGAGAAGAGCGGCAAGGGATGAGGAAGGCTGAGGATGATCCGATGGCTACAGAGCATAGCATCTGTATCTCCTGCCTCTATGTGGCAAGTTGTTTAAATGGCTGACAGAAGGTGGCAGCAATAGACCATCAGAAGGTGAAGGAGGATACCGGAACCTGTACTAAACAGATGCGAGAACCCTTAAAACAAGCAAACAAAAACAAAAGACAAAGCTACCAGTCAAAATTAAAAATGGAGGATTGTAAAGCAAATGATGTGTACATTTGTATACGTATAAATATTGCCTTGTATTTCTTCCAAAAAGTTAATTCCTAATATCCTTGTTTACTTAGAATAGTGGTTCTCAATCTTCCTAATGCTCCAACCCTTTAATATAGTTCGTCACATTGTGGTGACCCCCAACCATAAAAATTTTGTTGCTGCCCTATTGTAACCATAATTTTGCTACTAATATGAATTGCGTTGTAAATACTTGTGTTTCCTGATGGCATTAAGTGACCCCTGTGGAAGGGTTGTTTGACTCCAAAGGAATCAATATTTTATTACTTCTGGAGTTTTACTTACTATTAGAATAAATATGAACACTGCTATCAACGATATTCTGGACTACTGCAAGGACAGATATCATGTTCTTTGCTTTTACATAACTATTGCACAAATATTAAAATTAGGAAATTTCCTGTGAAACAGTGAAGCACGATTAACAAAAGTTCAGAGAGAGAAATTGGGGTTCAACCTAAAGATCTGAAAAGCAAGCAGTCAGCCACTGGCTCTTCCCTCTACTTCAGTCTGAAATGGCGATCCTGCCTCCAAGAATCTCAGAATGAGACTGTGTCTGAGAGCTGTCTCCTTCTGTTTTATAATCCTACCTAGGGCTGGGATTAAAGACGTGCACCATTTGGTTTCTATGGCAACTAGTGTGGTTACTGGGATTAAAGGTGTGTGTTGCCACTGCCTGGCTGTAAAGGGTGACCAGTGGGGCTGTTTTAGTCTCTGATCTTCAGGCAAGTTTTACTTATTAAAATACAAATGAAATGCCACTATAAAACAGTGTTATTGTTTATGGGTTCCCTCCACAAAATTTCATCAACTATGTTACTGATATCCACAAAGTAAATTGATTCTTTCTTTGTATCCTAACCAATCTAGAGGCTCACACTGCTTTAGGCTGCTGCGTCTCTTTTCATTCTGATGTCAATAGCTTGTTTTCAAAGTAGATTTTTTTTGAAATATGTACAATGAAAATTAAGAGAATAATTTAATTATCAAGTACCAGTAATAATGGCTCTAACCCTGTTTGCTAAATTAATTATGAAGAGATAGAACCAAGAGAATCATTTCAAATTCATTACAATAAAACACCAAATGAACTAAACATATTATGCTCACACAATAGTGTAAGATTGTTTAAACCTCGCATTGCCATTTAGTTGCCAATCAAAATGGGAGGATAAACGGCTGCTTTTTTTCATCATTTACAAAATTAGCTTGAAATAAATGCACTTATATGTTGTTCACCAGATCATGATGGCAATCATGTATCTGTTAATGTTCAAGCCGCTTAACTCTCACCACGAAAGCTGTCACAATCTTATTTACAATGTGAAGATGGCCAGGGTGACTTTTTGTTTCTTCCCTCTCTAGGGGATGGTCTTACAGTTCCAACAAAGTTCAGCCTCTTTGAAAGGTCGGGCGAGGCAAAAACATCACTGGATAGGAAACCAAGGACTGACATTGCTGCTTTTGAAAATGGAGGTGAGCTAGATGACCCTGAAAGAGGTATATTTTACAGCTGTAGTTAGTGAGGTCCTATCAGTTTAAACACGTGAAGCGTTGTTTTTAATTTCATCACTTTAATGAATTTAGGGAAGCATGCTACTCTGAGGTGTATAGCTTGGGGAAAAAAATCCACATGCATATATGACTATGTAGTCATAATGCCACGAATTTATTGGCTACCTTGATGTCCTCTTTTGTCAAATTGTTCTGTTATATCCCAATACCACTTACATCAGCTTTTTCTTATCAGTCACTAAGGGACTAGCAAGGGTAATTGTCATCTCTCATTGATACCCATACTCTCATCTCTGCCCACACAGTTTAGTTTTACATTTTTTGTTTAAGTGGAAATGTGCAGTTTGGACTCCTTCAGTTTGAGTATTTTAGTTTAATATTTAAGTTGAATTGTACGAGTAGCTCTCTCTCTCTCTCTCTCTCTCTCTCTCTCTCTCTCTCTCTCTCTCTCTCTCTCACACACACACACACACACGCATGCATGCAAGTATGTATGCATCAATACAACCTGCAGAGTCTTCGTCCTGTTGCTCATATACACATGTGTTTAGGATTGAACTCTTGGGATTAGATGACCCTTCACCGGGCTGCTTCCTGGAGAAGCCTGCATCTCCCTCCCTCTCTCTTAGCAGTCATTGTTTGCCTGTAGTTCTTCATCTAGGGGTGGAGCCTTGTAAGATTGTCTCCATCTGTGTTGATATGCCAACTGGTATTGTCATTGTGCAGGTCTTGTTTAGGCAACTTTGTTGTTGATGTTTCCTGAGTGCAGTTTTGCTGTCATATAGATAAAGACTGCTAGCAAATATCCGGGTCCTCTGACTCATTACATACTTCTTCTATGATGTCTTCTGAGCCTTGGGTATAAATGTTATGTTAAAGATGTATCTGGGGCTGGGTATTCCACCGTCAGTTGTTCTCAGCATTTTGACCAGTGTGCCTTTCCACAATGGTCACTGTTTGCTGTAAAAAGAGGCTTCTTTGATGAGAGGTGAAAGCTATACTTATCTGGGTCTAATGATGTCTTAGGATGCAGTCAGGAGCTACAGTGGTTTGGGAAAGTGTAACGAGTAGGTTCCATGACCTCAACAGTCACAGGTACTTGGCTAGGATTTCAGTACCAGGCATAAATTCCCTCCTATGGGCAGGACTTAAGTCCAATTAGAGGATTTATCCCTCCAAGATGTAAGAGTCACTATTGCACCCTTTAGGGATGTCTTGTTGTGTGACTTTTCCATGGGTTATTTATTCTGTAAACTAGTTTTTAAGGTTCTTTTTAAGTTTGTTACACTGGGGAGTGAGATTTACCTAGGGCCTTGTGCATGCCAAGCAAGAGCTTCTCCATTGAGCTATGGCTTCATCTGAATATTATTTTCAGAGAAGGTTATTAAGGGGCTCAAGAGATGGCTCAGTAGGTAAATTATCTGGCAGGTATGGATGAGGCCCTGAGTCCAATCTGCAGGACCCACATGTCATAGATGGTATCATCATGTGTCTGAAATCTAAGTATTCTACGGCTGTATGGGAACTGTAGAGAAGAGAATCCTTTTGCACTGGCAGGTTAGCTAGCCCGACAACTGTAATAGCAAACAAGAAACACTACCTCCAATATGGTGGGAGGCAAAGAGCAACACCTGAAATTGTCCTTTGCTCTGTACTCTAGCATGACATGCACACATGCACACTCACACACACACACTCATACACACAGGAACACACATACATACACATGCATACATGTACACACAGGCACATACACATGCTTAGAAACACGCACACACACAAATGCATGCACCTGTACATGTATGCATAAACATATCATACACACACACGGAAAAATGATTATTTAAAACACTTTTTGCTTAATATAATACATTTTATGGTGAAGGTACTATCAATCTTATTTGTAGCATTTAAATATAGGAGAAAGACTAAGGAAAAAACCGTTTTCATATTTCAAATGAAGGAAAGATAAGTTATATTTACTATGAATATTTCTAAAGATCACTATGTTGAGGGAACTTAATTTGGTTGAATATGTGAATTTTCTTGAAATTATCTGTATGTCAGTTTACACACTGGCCACTCAAATAATATAGCTAATACTCATGCACTAATCTCAGCATCTCTGATAGAATATGTGGAGATATGGGGACAGTATCATCTGAGACATGTTTGAACAAAACTGGACACCAGAGATACTATGAAGATCATTACTGTATTAAAAGGGAGTCATGTGCCTCTTGTTACTATTGCTGCCCCTGACTGTAAAGTTTTATTCTAGGGGGTGACTGCTATGCTCCACAGAGGATCATATTTCTTGGTGTGGATGAAAGTGAACCATTAGCTGAAGTGAAAGAAATCACCTCCAAATGTTCAAATGTCAAAGGTAAGGAGCCTTGGGTTAAAAATTGACCCTCTGTACTTTGGGTAGATAAATAAAATGAGCATCATAGTTGTTATGGAAACCACATGTAATTGAGGAGGTACCTCAGAAAGTACTGAATAGGACGCCAAAGCCCCAAGGCTTTGCATTGGCTGTACACTTAATTGTTTTAAGTTTTATAGCCTGTTTCCTAGTCTGGAAAGTGAGTCTGTTGGAGGAGACATTCCAAGGTCGAGTCTTTCAGCCTTAAAGTGATCAACCTCCTTAAATGGCAATACGAAGACCTCTCAAGTTTTTTTGTTTTAGCAACTTAAAACAAAATGAGTGAGTTTCTGGAGAAATATTGTTCATGAGCATTTCAAAGAGATTCATTCTGGTGATGCCATACCCTTTATACAGTAATTGCTAATAACAAACAACCTGTGGCTAGTATAGAGATACAATGTCTACTCTAGAGCTTAGTGTTACTCTCTATCCGTCTGCAGCTGGGTGTGCTCCCTTAGACAGAGGCAAAGGAAAAGACCTTTGTGTCAAGGTATTTAGTAAAAAATTACGTGTAAATCTGTCTCCTACTCAGAGCTAACATTTTCCCTAACCAATCAAAGAAATGCTTAGGGGAAACTACCTCAGCTATATTCATTTGGAGGCCACTAGCTATGTGTGAGTGCCTACATTTAATTGTCATGAATCAAGTTCTAAATTCAGCTTTTCAACTGCGCTAGCCCCCACGCCAAGTAGTAAATACACACGTGTGGGTAGGGGCTGTTATGTGGAACAGCACAGATTTAGAACATGCTCATAATTGTGGATGTTTTATTGAACAGTCCCTCTGCTGAGCACAGAGCAAATGAATGTGATCCCATTAATAGTGTCTTGAGAACATAAATGGCCTCATTCCCTATAGAATATACAATGTACTTAAAATCTTCAAGGAGAAGTTAAAACACTGACATCTCACTTGTGTATGGAAATGATAGCTATAGTTTCAGCGTTTTTAAACTTTCCTCTGTACTTGAGGTACGGTGTGGCAATTAGACAATTTTAGCCACGCATTCTAGAGAGTGACACACTTACATAGTAGGTGTGCCCATTGGAAGTGTTTCTCTTACTAAGTTTGACATGCTTTATTCTCTGTTTGCTTTAGAAGAAAGCAAGGACAGTCTACATCCAAAGCGTACCCTAACCACCCGCCTAGTCCCTACAACGCATGTGCTAAATGCTACAGAGAACATCAGCATGAAGTGCAGAGAGAGTCCCTCTTCAAGTAAGGCAGTGATCACATCACTTTTAGACCTTGCATTTGGTTGTCTTCTTAGCGATATGTTTTTCTTATTTGCAAGAGAATTGACAAGGGAAAAAAAAAGAAAGAAAAGGAAAAAGCGTGGTTTGAGAAGTCTGCCATTTGAAGTAGTAAATAAACAATATTTCTCTCTTAAGTCTGGAGTACAGATTGTGATATAGGCCTTAACAAATTATATCCACCAGTTTGAGGTACATATTGACGTAATAGCAAGCTGCCCGTGCTGAAGGTCATTAGTCCAGCTCGTTACTTTTTTCCATCGTGGAACAGAACGGCAGCTTTGCAATCACAATTGTTGTAGATCGTTTTTCTCAATTTGGCTTCTCCTGGGCATTGGTGCTTTGAGCCAGCCGCTGCTTTGATGGAATCTGCCTCATTCCTTCAGTCCTTCCCCCCGTTCCTGGTTTTGTTTACCGAACTGCTGTTAATATTCTTGGTTCCCAGGTACTGAAGGAGAACCGCAATAACTTCCCTTAGGAAACTCTTGTTACTAGTACTCGTTCTAACTTTGGCGGTTATATCTGAGGTGTGGGAGTTTGGCCGTGATGTGATGAGGAGATGTGTTTTATTGTTTAATGTCTCGGGCTTAAATGCAAGGGCTTAAAATGTAAGCGAAACTTGAAGGCTAAGGGAAACACAGATTTATTGTCCTCCTAACGGAGAGCTACTGCAGCCTGAACACTGGTACTCGTTTTCCTTGTAGTCATGTGCCAACAGCAGAATGCCTCTACAAAACTGGTTTAAGAATCCCCTCGGACAGTCTTCAAAAACTGAGAATGCATGTAGACACTTTGCTATGAGTATATTCACATAACATGGGCGACGAGAAAGACTAGAAGCTTATACTTTCTCATAGTCGGCCTTGCTGTGCTAAACTACCTGAGGGTTCAACCTTGTAACACTTTAAAAAGGATAAGGTGCTTTAATTCAGTAAACATGTTTTATGTATTAACCAAACTCACTAAGAAATAGCAGTTCCGGGCTTAAAAAGTACAAAACGATTTATTTTGAGGATAACAATTATGACCTTAAGATAGCGTTGTGCTGGGATTTGTTATTGTAATCGGAGCGCACTTTTCTGTTATTTTCAAGGAGCCCACGCATTTCTTTGGAGAACAATAAAACATTTTAAAAGGAAAGCAGCTTATCAAAGGTTTTTTTTTCTCATTAATGTATTCCCAAGAGGGATTTTTTTTGACACTTAAAAACCAGTCACTCTTTGTTCTAAAAGCTAGTCTTAGAGCGGCATACTTCTGCTTGATGCGAGAATGCACAGATATGTAATTATCACCTCAGTAATTTTCAGATAAAAGCATCTCTGAAAAACTGTAAAATATGTGTATCTTCTCCAAGCAGATGATGTCCAGCCAGTTAGGAAGCCTCATTTTAAAGGTGTGAAGAAAAGAAAATGGATTCATGATGAACCAAAGAACTTTCCTGGCTCTGGAATGCGGAGAGGTAGAATATCCGAGTGTTTGGTATTTCTAATTATAATTCCCACAGAGATTAAACATCAAATATTTCCCACGCTAAGGAAAAATCATTGCTGTGTAACTTGAAGTCTACTTTAAAAGTTCCCCCAGTTCTTCTCTGCATGGCATGCTCTAGCTTATATTTTCTTATATTTTGCTACCCCACGCTTCAAATGCAGTGTATTTTATGAATGTGAGCCTGGCTTGCCGCATCCCTGATCTCTACTCTTTTGACTTTACAGCAGCACACACCCCAAATCCCAAACATAAAATGAGTTACCACCATCAGAATAAGAACCGAAATGCTGAGAACGCCTCCTACATGCATGTCCAAAGAGATTCAGTAAGAACTGTCACACTGAACGCCCCTCCTGGAAGCAGGCCCACAACTGGGTCCTACAACAAAGCTGATGTCAACAAGGAACCCAAACTCAACCTCTGTCCAGGTGAGGGTCTTTATTGATGTGGTTCATTCCTGACTGCACTTGGCCTTAGGGTAGGATTTCCCACCTGGATAGCTGGTCTTTGGTCCTTCCACTCACTGCTGCTCCTGCGCCAGTATCATTACAACATCCTCGACACTAACCCAGAGGACCACATCCAGGAGGAGTCAGGCCCATGTTTTAAAGGACATGGAAGAATACTCACGCTGGAAGCTGATGAACTGGCACTGCACCTCCTTAGAGACTTGCCCCCCCCCCACTGCAGAGCTCTTTGTTCACCCTGGGTAGTTTCATTTCACGCGGGAGGATTATTTTCACGTGGTTGACATTTTCTTGTTCCACTAAGTGCGTGGTTCAATTATGTCTGTCAGATTACCGCGCTGTCTTTTCTTGAGGACATCATGATTACTTTCTTGAAAAGGGTTAGTTTGAGGGTTAACTGCAATATTTCTGACAACCTCTCATCTCTCTCACCATGCCCTTCTAAATCATTTCATCTTGTAATAGGCAAAGGCATGGTGTTATGTCAGGAAGTACATGGCCACAGGGGAGAATTTCTTTCTTCCGGCTTTAGATGAATTTTTCTCTTTGGAAGTTGGGTTTCAGTTCTCTTGACTTAACAAAATGTCATTCAGCTCTCTGTAATTCACGTTGGAGCTTTGCATTTACAGTGTAGTTTGTGAGTTCCAATTGTCAAGAACTTTTGGAAGCATAGGCAAAGACTCTGTGTTTAACAGCTTAAATAGACATTTCATTTTAACTGTTTGTGTTAGACTGTAATGGTGTACGGATGTGTATAAGCGAAGAAGTATGCACTCAGAAGAAACTAGTTCTAAGTGTATTACCATGTTATTATACTATTTATTATTGTTGCTGTAATACTCTTGTGACTATGAGAACTTCAATGTGTACAAGCACAGCGTGTTGCCAAAGTCTAGATTTGTATGAACTGAATGTGTCAGCCACTATACTGGTCACTGTTGTGCCTCATTCATGCAAATATAAGCACACAAAAAATGACCCAAAAAGAAAATTCTTGATATGAGCCACACACTGAGAACTATAGATATGTGGTGATAACCCTGGAAATGCAAATATGACAATGTTATGGAGTAGAGAAAAGCAAGTCCTCATAGACGACTTAGTCTGTCTGTCTGTCTCTCTCTCTCTCTCTCTCTCTCTCTCTCTCTCTCTCTCTCTCTGTGTGTGTGTGTGTGTGTGTGTGTGTGTGTGCCTGCTCTGGCTTTCTAAGCTCACAATTTCAGTTGCCACTGTTTTCACAGAGGGCAATTCCTGGAAGCACATGTGCCTTGTTGTCTTTAAAATAAAGTTTAAAAGATATTTACAAAGTCAATTATGCATTGTCTGAAATGTTAATTTTCTTTTATTTTTGAGACTGTGTAATATAATTATATCACCTCTCCCTTCCCCTTTCTCCCCCCTCCCACAAGCTCCTCCTTGTTCTCTCTCAAACTCATGACCTCTCCCAACGTTAGTAAGACAATGTGTTAAGTCACAGACGAAAGATCGTGAAACACTATATGCAGATACCGTTCTGTCTTCTAGATTAGTCTCATAGGATAGAGCCTTATTTGAGGAAATGAACAGTAGATTAAGAGATTGCTTGCTGGTCACGTAAGTGAATTCAATAAACTCACTGGTATTCCTGTTGCCTTAGCTTTCAAATGGTAGAGAAAACACGTGGAGGGTAATTCTTACTGCTGAGATATTTATAGCTTTGCCATGCTCTTGGCATATAGTTGTTGAATTCAGCAATATTTGCTAGCAGTTTCCTTTTTTTGTTTTCTCAGATAAACATATGTCAACAACATATAATGGTTCAGCCTGGCGAAGAAGAATTCCTTTTACAAAAACATATTCAAAAACTGAAAAGATATATCCAGGTAATTACTCACTGGTGACTTCGATGTGTCGTGTAGTCCTGGAAATAAATGACAAGTTCTTAAGTCAAGAAACATATTTAAAAGCACTTAAAATAAAAAAAATTCAAGATCACTTAATTACAGAGAAGATTTGGGGAGTTAGTAGTCCCCTGGCACAGTGACAAGTCAATATTATTTTGTTTCGTGGTGTTCAGTTTTACCTATTTGTGTTATCAGAAAACATTTTAATGCTATTTTTTCCTCTCAATCAAATATAGCAATTGTAATAATTATATATGTTAAGCTAGTCTTTGTTATAATACAGTGAAAGTATATAAAATTATATTTAGCATGAATAAGATACTCTCTCTTGATGTACTTACCATAGAGAGATGTAAGTTTATACAGGTTAGCCATCCATGAATCTCCAAGGAGACATCAAGTGACTATATTCTCCCCCTTGTTATACATTGTGCTCACTGAGGGAACAGAACAGGAAGGTTGGAAGTCTCTGGTTCGATGTTCCTACGGGTCCTGATCACAGATGAATCTTTTGCTGGACAAGTTGATGTTCTTCTTTGCTTAGAAACAAGTTGCAATGAATACAAATTATTCTTCAGATAACCGAATCTTTCAGAACACACAATTCTGATAGGGAACTTGTAATCAAACAAATATCCTAGTAATTTAAAAATATTCTGATTCCATGAGTTTTTATACCAGGGTCTTCCAGAAGGTCCATATGTAGAGTAGATAATTTATTTTCTCCAAAGTAAGTGGCTCATACGAGACTTGTAAAAACCTCCTTTGACTTCAGCTGTGTGTCAGTACCCAGAATCGGTACAATTGTTTAGTGGAGACAGAGTGTAATCCAATTTCCCCTCCTCTTGCAAACCAAATTATGCTGCAAGAGAAGGTAGATACAGTACTGCTTAACTGACTATATCTTCTCTTAACTTTGGCTCGACGGTTACATGTGATCAAACATAATTTGAGAGGGAAGAGAGGAGAGAGAAAACCAAAGTGAAGATACAATGAAACTCCTTGAAGGAATTTGGCATTTCTAAGTTCCAGCTTTTCTTCCTATGGTTTCCATCTGAGAGGGACGCATTTGGAATGTTGAAGAGTTCTCTTTGTCCTAATCCTATGAAAATGGTTGATTTTGCATCCCAGTGGCTCCCTTCCCCAAATGAAATAGTTAGATAGCAGCAGTGGAAATACTTGGGGCATCTCAAAGTACTTCAGGATGTAAATATGTACATGCATAGAATCCACACATCCTTGCAGGGCTCCATTGCCCTTATCAGGTGCTTAGCAGAGAGACAAGCTCTAAAAAGAATGTCTCAGGGTCCTGTGGATAGGGGAAAGGCAGGACTTATATCACATGAGAGGATAAAGACAGGTTTTTGAGAATTCTGTCGAGATTACATAGGTGGCATCACACAGTCCTGTGGTGTGTCGCTGGAAGACGGCCATTGTGTGTGTGAGAGAAAGATCACGGAGCGAATGCGTGAAGTAGTCTGGCTATAAGTGAAGGAATGAACTTTGGGAAAATATCTGCTTGTTGTTGAGCTCTGCTGGGGTCAGAGTGGCACTTAGCCGGGATCTCAACAGATGGCCTCTGAGAGAGACATAAGTAGATACTAGTGCAGCATCCAGGCAGCAAACCCTTGCTCTTGAAGTTATGATCCGATGGGCAGCTGCAGTGTCGTCCCCTGGGAGCTCATTAGAAATGTGGGCTCCCCGTCTCATACCTGCTGTGGCGGGATGTCATCTTTCTAACACGGCCAGGTGATTTGGGTGAGCGTTCAGGTTCGTGAAACCCCAGGAAGGTTAAGTGGCTGAAGAACCAGCTACACTGGTCTGTTGAAAGTTTGTATTCTCACTTTGGCTGTGACGTGGCAGGTGGCGTTCTCCTTGACCCACCCCAGGAATTAGGACCAGCAGCCACAGAGTCTGGGGGGAGGAACAAAACCCCAAGAAGAACCTTTAAATGTGACTGAATCATGAAAGCAAAGTGACTAAGAAATTCCTGAATTCAACTGAGTTTGTGTACACAGGTCTATTACTTCAGGAAAAACGAGGACTTGTAGTTTCTATACTGTGGAAGACTTTATAAAATGAATAGTATTTTATAAACCGCAAGTTTGTTTTCTTACATGTTTTTGATTGAGAAACTGGTTACTCCCAATTTTGGCCTTTCCAGTTGTTGTTCTCATCCACCGAATGAAACGAGAAAGGTTAGCTTGTGTTTCTTCCCACACATATCCTTGTTAGGGCGCAGAACAGCCATTGTGACATTTCCCAGTGGACAGATGGATGCTGGAGGGAGGAAACAGAAGGCACGAGCTGCCATTTGCCTGTTCCTCTGAGGCTCCAGCAGCCAAGACCGAGGAAATGTAAATGGACCAGAGAAGTCTTTTGGGAAAGTGTTGCAGGATGGTATGGGTGTAGTGGGAAGGGAGAGGAAAGGGCTGGTCGCATAGGAGAATTAGGGGCACAAGGCACAATTGCCTGGAGATACTCTCAGTTCCAGTCTTCCCTGTGTCCACATGTCCATTCTGATACGGTAAACATGGAAGCACCTGTCCTCATATCGTAGACTGTTCATTTCATTCATTCTTGCTGTCTCTTTTAAATGCAGGCTTATATGCAGTATTAAGTCAATCTCTCAACAACCCTTCATCTAAAATGCGATGTTCAAAAAGCATCAAAGAGAAATCTAGGAAGCTTGAATGACATTTTGAGAACTTAATGAAACACTAAGCTTGTTTTGTTTTTGTTTTTGTTTTTTTTTTTTTGTTTTTTTGTTTTTTTTTTAGCTGCCATGGTAGTTAACAACAGAAATACAAATTAATGAAACAAAACATGGAAAGAAAATGAAATATCTTGTGTATTTTGTTTCTAGAGCCAAGAAGAAATGGGAGCAAGTAAACTTGGAGGTTGAAAGAAGAGAAAAATGAGAAAAAGAGAAAAGAGCCAGCCATTACCTGATTTACAAGCAAAACCGAAAATTCCAAGAATGAGATATTCAAGTACTCCATAGGGTATAGTGGTAGTCAACGATGATAAAATGCAAATTCTGAAAATAAGATGCAGGAAAGAACATTGTGCTTGTTCAAAACTGATAAAATGCAAATTGCAAACAGCTGCCTGTTTATGTATGTCTGGGATTCATTCAATACATTGCCGCAAACATTTAATAAAATTTCAAAGTTTGACCATTAAAATCATTCTTTAATCGTAAGCAAGCTAGGTTGTACAGAGAGAAGGGTAAAACTGTTTTGGTCTCTGCTGTTTGTGATGGTCTTCATGGCAAACAATTCAGACCTTCTTTTCTTAGGTTTGAAGCAGGGCTCTCAACAAGAACTCATCAGGCAAACACAAATTCAACAATATCCTAGCTGGCAGTTGGCGAGGAATACCTCAGAGGAATTTTAAGAGAGAGAGAGAGAGAGAGAGAGAGAGAGAGAGAGAGAGAGAGAGAGAGAGAGAGAGAGAGAGAGAGTCTATCATGCAGGGAATCGCTAAACAGTGTCTTTTAATTGGCAATTGCAAGACTTCTCTGCTGAGAGTCGCCACACTCAAAACTGAAAAGCGAATATTTTCCTGTCAAAAAGACAAAAATTATATGACCATAATAGAGCAAAGGAGGTTCCTTTAAAAAGAATAGTGGACTAATTTATTTCCCAGAAGTTCCAAGGCCTCAGTAACTCCAGAAATTCAGACACAAGTGAGATGACAAGCAAGTGGTGACTCAAGCCTTCAGTCACACAGTCAATAGGCACCAACAGGCAGATCTCTGAGTTCAAGGTCGACCTTGTCTACAAAGTGTGTTCCACATCAGTCAGGACCACACAGGGAGACCCTAGTGTGGCCTCCCTCACCTGGAAACTCCTTTATTATCTTTCCATCTTAGGATCATAGATTTTTAATAATAAATTTTTAAATTAATATTTGAAATTTTACTCACAATTACCCATTTTCCATATGACCAAAGCAAAAACATGAAGGATTTGTTTTAAAACTTAAAGATCATGTATTAAATCAATGTAAGGCTTCTTAAACATAAAGTACTCTAGCATTTATACTTCTATACTAGGATATCTTATATTTTCACAAGTTTTCTGATGAAGAGTTGCCTCTTAATAGTTGTAGGCGAAAGCATTCTTTTTGAAAGTATTTCACTTGAAACGTTTTATATCACACAGCTCCCATTTGCAGAGTGATGAACTCCAGTTCTGCTCTAGTGCACGCCACGCACTGACTTTCAATAACAGTGGGTGTATTTATTTTGTCCTTCTGAGCAGAGCATAGAAAAATGAAGATGATACAGATATGTATATTGATGAGGCAGATTTGAGAAGTGTGTACGAAAACAGCTCAACCGTAAAGCTGCCTAGCTGGAACTTGATGAGGGGACATCATCTACTCATTTAAATAACAAACTCATTTGGTTATAAGCAATAACTAATGACTAAATATGGTCTTATTGATATATGAATATTAAAATACAATTTTCTAATGTTGGGTCTGGCCTGACTTATCCATACATTACAGAGAAGGGGAGTATGGATTGAGGAAGGAAATAGACAAGAGACAGAAGAAAGAGTCGGGAGGGTTTACAGTGAATACTATAGCAAAAATCAAAAGAGCCCCGAGCTTATTACTGTCGGACCTTACACACCCTAAACAAAAGGGAAGGGCACCAGACTCCCATGATATAAAGAGCAAACCTAGCATAATTACCTCCTTACATCCCAAAACAACTGGTTACCACGCCCTAAGTTGACAGACCTTTGAAGAGTAAGGCATCCAGTAGCCACACCTCTGGTCAAACATTTTCTTGTTCATATTTGAGGAGCAAGAATAAACCTGAACTCTTAGACCTTTAGCCAAGATAGAATGGATTCAAAACTGTGGGGTCTGACATTCTAAATAACTCCTAAGTCAAAGATGAAGCAATAAAATTGTTATTATGTTTGGTAATGGATATTAAAAGTTCTACTTACCAAATTAGTGGAATGCAACTAACTCTCAATAAACCCAGAAAATTAAAATTTTTTCTTAAAATTCTACAACAAACATCTTCATTGTCAGCAATAAGGAGTTCTCCACTTGGAGATAAAAAAGGAGTTCTCTGCCATGGCCTCAGGTAGCTATTTTGCTAACACTCTTAATGGATAGAGTAAGATGAGAACAAAATTTCATTAACAATTGAAATGAAGAGGAAATTTTTATTGTTCTTAGGTGATATTTCTATCTAGACATGCCAAAATATTTAAAAATTATCAGGTTTTTTAATCATGAGAGATTAACAAATTTTGCATAGTCGAGGGATATAAAAAAGTCAATTGCAATTTTTGTTTGTCTGTTTTTTGTTATTTTTGATATCTTAGTTTGATTATGCTATTTTCCCTCTTTCCTCCCTCCAAACACTCCCACATACACATTCCTCTTCAAATCCATGACTTCTTTATTCATTGTTATGACACACACATATGTATTTATATACACACATATATTCCTAAATATAAACTGTTCAATCCATATAACGTTACTTATATATTTGTTGTCAATGCTGACCATTTGGTGCTAGATAACCAATCAGTGTAGTATGTCATGAGGAAGACCACCCCTCTGCTCCCAGCTTTCCTCAGTTGCTTGTAGTTTTTATGTATAGGATTGAGGCCTTTTGGGATTTTCCCCCATCCAGTTTGGGGTGTCCATTAGTGCCATCCTCCTCACGGTATGTTTGGGTGATCATGTTGGCAAGACTTTATGGGTATAGCATTTTTATAAACTAGCACCATGTTTAAAATAAGCAACACAAGTCAAAATTGATAGATTTTTTTAAAATCAACAAATATTTAAGGAGAAAAAGTAACAGATGATTCCAAAACAGTGCATTCTGCTACTAAAAAAAAGATTAATTGTTGTCATTTGTGGCATCACAAATATATCTAGAGTATATCGTGTGACGTGAAGTAAGCCAGACACAGAACACAGATACCACATTTTATCTTTCATGTGGGGATACTGATCTCAATTTAGGATGGCAGCTATTAGTAGTTGGCGATGGGAGAAGGGGGTGTAGAAACTTTGGATAGAAGTCACCAAAATTCAGATAGAAGGAATAGGTTCTAGTACGCTGCAGCACAGGATGACAGATAGAGTCCACAATTCCATAGGTCATAAGAGTACAAGCTGCTTGCGGCATCCAATGTAAAGAAACAACTGGAAGCTCGCTAGTTAATTCATCAGGTAAAGCTTCTTGCCTCCAGGCCTGGTGACTTAAATTCTTACTCAGGGGACCAAATGCTTGAGGGATAGAGCTGTCAAGTCGTTCGTGATTTGACTAGTGAACATTGCATTGATCGGAATATCACACTCGAGTTCTTTAATGTGTGAAGTTGTAAACTATGTCTATCAGAGATGCTAATTATCAACTGAATTGTTCAATACTACACCCATCAAAATCTTCTTTTTCCACCCTTCAAGAAATGTAAAACCTATTCTACAGTACATATGAAATCCTAGAGTGTTCAGAATACGTTAATTAATAACAAAGGGGCTAGATTAAGATACATGGTTGCTCTGAAGGGCAAGAGTGATTGTCAACTAAAGTTAAGTTTTCATTTGTTACTGGATAGAGTCGGCACTGCTGTAGTATTTGAGACGACATTAGAGAACAATATACAAAACACCTTACATGGACTTTCATGCCTGTATAAGGTGTTACGCAGCAGAAGAAGCATTGCGGATAATGCAGAAAGGAGCGATTGTTAATTAAACATGAAAGAATTTGTCGCCTCTTTGTGGGGAATAAAGACAATGGATCCTTAAACTTCAACAACAAAAACAACCGCAACAACAAAAAAATGGGTTTTCAGATGAACCAAGTATTTATGTAACAAGCAAAACTGAAATTTATAAATGTTATTTGTTGGAGGGTTATCTGAGTCGGAACAAGTTTGTAAATGGACCCCTGAACAGAATTTTGATGAACTTAAGCTTACAGCTGTGCTTGCCAATATCGGAGTAAAAGAAAAGTAAAACATGTTTCAGGTTTTGTTTTCCCCCTAAATTCTCTTGTGTTCACTGCAGGGACCCAGTTGCTTTGTTTTCAGTTCTAGTCTTTGGGTGTATTGATGCTATCATCAAGAAAGGCTCACTGCACACAACCTTCCCTTTGAAAATAATTATTTTTTTGCCACCAGCTATGATTTGACCTGGAAATGCAAGTTCCAGGTTTACAGTTTCTTTGTATTTCTAATTATTTTGTCACAAGTTGGTGTTTCTATTGCCTGGGCAAAAATAAATAAATAAATAAATATACAAATAAATAAATAAAATAAATAGCATTTAGTCTGCTCCTGGCACAAAGGCAAAAGGAGAATTGGTGCCATTTGTGAGGCGATTAAAACAGGCCATCCCAGGAAGGCAGGGGGAACTCTGTGTTCTAGTCCCATCTGCTTTGAGCGGCTTTTCCTCCACAGTGTGTGTGTGTGTACACATGTGTGTGCACAGGTTTGTGTGTGCACATGTGTGTGATTGTGCATGTGTGTGTGTATGTGTGCAGATAACTGAGTTCTTTTCAGAAATTATACCTATGTTCTCCTCCCTAGGAAAAGCATGGTCTTACAGCAAGGTATGGGAGCTTAGTGGGCTGTTTGGGTAATTGCCAATAATGTCAATAAACTCATACACCTTGCAGCCAGGAAGACTTACTTGAGGCTCCTGGGTTTCCCATTTGCTAACTGTTTGAGCTTGGACATAACACTTTATCTTTCTAAACTTTAATTTTCTTATTATCAATAATAATTTTCTGTTAGGAATGCGCTGCACGTTAGAAATAATAACATCATGAGTTGTGCCTGGTGGTTTTTGGTAAGTGGTAACCTTTAATGAAAACTATCTCACAGATCGTCCCC